AAGAGCTGACTTTCAGGAAGAAGCTTGAAGCATAGATTCAAAGGTTGTAGGAGGGATTATTCAAGGGACTGGACAATTGGAGGTGTGAACAAAGGCACAGAGGTTGGAATATACAGAGTTATAAGCAATTTGCCATTTACCTGAATTTGCATCACTTATTTTTAAAACTTTGTTATACGGTGCACAAATATTTAGGAGTTTTAAGTCCTCATGATAAATCGACCCTTCTATCATTGTGAAATAACCCTCTTTAGTTCTGATAATTTTTTGGCATTGAAACCTATTAAATCTGATATTAATATAGCCCCTCAGGTTTTCTTCTGATTACTCTTACTGTGGTGTGCTTACTATACAATATTATTGGAAAGCATTTTTACTGCAAATAGAATTTTAGGTTGACAGTGTTGTTTTTTTTCCCTATCTCTTTTTTTCTTTTAGTAGCTTATGGATGGTGTTCTACTCTCTTCTTGCTTGCATTGCTTCCAATGAGAAGTCTGTTTCCATTCTTTCTCTGTATGTCATGTGTCTTTTATGCTGGTTACTTTGAAGATTTTCTCTTTTTTAAAAAAATTTATTTTTATTTTATTTATTTTTGGCTGCGTTGGGTCTTCATTGTTGTGCTTGGGCTTTCTCTAGGTGCAGCGAACGGGGATACTCTTCGTTGCAGTGCGCAGGCTCCTCATTGCGGTGGCTTCTCTTGTTGCGAAGCATGGGCTGTAGGCACGCAAACTTCAGTAGTTGCGGGACGCGTGCTCAGTAGCTGTGGCTCTCGGGCTCTAGAGCGCAGGCTCAGTAGCTGTGGTGCATGGGCTTAGTTGTTCCGCGGCATGTGGGATCTTCCCGGACCAGGGCTCGAACCTGTGTCCCCTGCATTGGTAGGTGGATTCTTAACCACTGTGCCACTAGGGAAGCCCTGAAGATTTTCTCTTTATTATTGTTTTTAAGAAATTTGATTTTTTTTTGTAGATTTTTTTCATGTTTCTAATTCCTAGGGTTCACTGAATTTATTAGATTGAATTTATTAGATCTGAAACTAATTACAAATATATTAAAACATTTGAGAATATCCCACGGCTCACTATGCTGTCCATTTTTTAGTCTTTTTTTTTACTCAGTGTGTTTCATTTTATGTTCTATTTCTATGTCTTCATATAAACTGATATTCCCTTCTGTGCCTGAACTGCTGCTGACCCTCTGCAAAGTATTTTTCATCGCAGACACTGTAGTCGCCGTATCTAGAAGTTCAGTTTGGGTCCTTTTTACATGACATGCTCAATCTCACTCTATTTTTTAAAATACGGAATACATTTATAATAACCGTCGTAATGTTCTTTCTACTAATATAATCATGTGTATCATTTCTTGGTCTGTTTATCATGGTTGATTCTTATCCTAGAATCTAGCTAAGGGGTATGAGACAAGTGAAAATATAATATCAATTGAGTGAAGCAAGTGTTCTACGTGGAGTGAGCACATCCGGTTAGGGAAACACGTTGGGTGGGAGGGAACCCTACATAATCTTCAGTAGCCAGAGAAATGCTGCCATAATGAGTTTGCCTTTAGGACCCAAAGGAATTATCCAGAAAATAGATACGGGGTAGGGTGGTAAGAAGAAAGCATGTTCCATTAGAGGGAAGACAATGTGTAACGGTCTGGAGGCAGGAGAGTTATTGGAACTGTAGGTGGATTAATAGGTCTGGTGGAGGTAAGAGAGTGCATCAGAAGCTATACCCCAGAAATACCTTGAATGCACTCCAGGGTGTTTGAAATAGATCCTGAGACAGTAGGGAATCCTAGAGGAGTTTTAAGTAGAGGTGTGACTGCAATCAACTTTGTGTTTAGAAATCATTCTGAGAGCAGTGTAGAAAATACAAGAGAGGGAAACAAGACTGCTAAAGTATTCATCGTGAGAAGGGATAGCATCCTGAGATAGGGTGAGAACATGGGAGTGGAGAGATCCCAATGGATATATCCTGGAGAATAAGATGGTAGGACTGCCAGACCTTATAACTGGTTAAATATGTGACTATCAAGGGAAACACCCAGATGTTTGTGTTGGATAACTGGATTGATGGTCCTGTTTTCAATGAAACAGGATCATTGTTAGATATCCTAAAACGCCTTGTAAAGTAAGAGAAAGTAGGGAAGGTTGGAATGGCTTAGATTTGTTTTCATACATTGAACATCTTGTCTACTTGTGCCAAGCACAAAGACAGGCACAGTGAAAGAAGGTATGGGTTAATAAGTGGGAAAAATAGCGGGGAGGGGTGGTGGAGGAAATTGATACCTCAGAATCCCTAAGTCAAGATTAGATAACATGAATTAATAATGGAAACAAAGGTCTTAATTATGACATTTTTTCAGCCCCCCTGGGCGGTGTGAGAGTAGAATCGAAGAGCAGATGCAGACGATGGATTGAATCCATGCTGCAGAACGTGGGGCAGTGCGGATACATTTATAGTAAAGTATAAAATGGGAGGCAATATCTGGGACTATTACAAGTATCTCTAAAATGCATTCTCATAAGCACGGGATGGATAGAAACCAGAAAAGCCAGAATGGGGCCAATGAGAGAATTAGGAGGGAATGAAAGGCTGGAGGCCAATGGACTGAGAAAGGAAGAAGAGTTAGATGGACAGAAGACGTCAGCATTCAAGGCAATAGTGCTTGTGAAGTGCCAGGCAATAAGGTGGGTCCAGATGTGATTTCAGCTCATTGAAGGTAGCAAGTGGTTGTAAGGCAAAATTGTTGAAAGTGTCATGAATAGGAATGATGACATTCCAAAAAATGGGGTCCAAAGGAAGTCTGTGAGCAAGATAAATGTCATGTTGAAAGTCAGTGAACCATGGAAACAGGATGGGGAAAGAGCAGAAAAGTGAAGCTGTGAAGAGCTCACAGTCGACTGTGTGGAGGAAGAGAGAGATATGGGATGAGTGCTTTTCTTTCTTTGATTCCAGAGCTGTTGCCCTCCATTAGAAGGAAACTGGTATCATCAAGAGTAAGCAGGTTTTGGGGGCTTCCCTGGTGGCACAGTGGTTGAGAATCTGCCTGCCAATGCAGGGGACACGGGTTCGAGCCCTGGTCTGGGAAGATCCCACACGCCACGGAGCCACTGGGCCCATGAGCCACAACTACCGAGCCTGAGCGTCTGGAGCTTGTGCTCTGCAACAAGAGAGGCCGCGATAGTGAGAGGCCCGTGCACCGCAATGAACAGTGGCCCCTGCTTGCTGCAACTAGAGAAAGCCCTCGCACAGAAATGAAGACCCAACACAGCTAAAAATAAATTTAAAAAAAAAGAGTAAACGGGTTTTGGTAGTGGTCATGAGAGTGGAAAATCATTCTAGAGAGGAATGCATTTTTATTATTGTAACATTTTAAAATAATATGTTACAATAATAGGAGAGGCTTCAACGATATTTTTTTTATTCCACTGGTCATTGTGGAAGCAGGTAGAAAGCAGGTATAGAGTCGGGGATGGTGGGGGATGCATGGTGCAGCAAGGAGGGTGCTGGAAGGGACACAGTGAAGTTTTCCCCTTGGTGGTAATTTTTAAGACAAGCACAGTTGAGGCTTTTCTGAGTCACTGAGCACTTCTGGGAACTTCAAAGTCATTGTAGGCTTATTCATTGAAATTCTGGGGGTCCATCACTATAGCTGAGCATTTTCAGGGTAAAGAACTTGAAGAGGTCTTCCTTTTGGATGTACTTTGTTTATTGAGAGCTGTTGGGCAGAAAATAAAATATAAAACAATCACGAAAGATCATTCCCTGACAATCTGGATCTAAACACAGAGAGGGTTCACTGATCAACAAATGAAATTTCCTATTAAATAAATACCACACATTGAATGTCAAGAAGTAATGATTTTTAGAGGTGGGGAAGATCAGAGATTTACACAAAACGTTTCACTCACACCCTGTTTTGTGGTATCCACCCTGATGCTGCCACCACACCTATGAGTTTCGCTTATTAAAATAATAAAGAGGTAGAATGACTAAAATCTGATGACCAACGCATACAGCTAAACACAGTTCCTCAAAGGCTAAACCTGATAGACAAGATTATTATTCAACTTGGAGAATGTCTGGTGATGTTGCCTAATATTTTTCCAACCTGCTCTACATGTGTATGCTGCTGTGTGTAGTTTTGCTTATTTTCAGCTGATCTTTGAGAAAATTAATCTCATCTCCTTTATTTCACTTATTAAATGTTGACGTTAAAACCAAATATAAAATGGGGATGAACTGGGGCAGGGAATCCAAACCATACACAGAATCCTTTAAAAAAAAAAAAAATCTGCCTTTTAAGCGTTTAAAAGACGACAGCAATTCATAAGTTTCAGACAGGTGAAATCAATAAGTTTTATGTGGAAAATATAACCTATGCAACATCATGTGTACACAACAGTGTGATGTGTGCATGTGTAAAAATCTGAAAAATAGTAGTCATCATATCAGCTACCATTTGAGGAGCACTTCCTATGAGTGTCCTCTTTTTATGTTATATCATGTAATTCGGGTATCCGTACGGAGTAGATAACCTCAGCCCCATTTCACAGATGAGCACACCACTGGCGCGCACAGCGTTTGGTTACCTGCCCGGCATATACTGCCAATAGATGTTGGAGCTGACCCATCTGACTTCAGTAGGCGACACTGTTCTAGTGGTGTTTTTAAAATCCCACAAGAGTCCCATTTTAAGCTGATCCACTCCACTTTTTAGGTGTGACTGATGACCTTGATTTCACCTTCTGAGTCACAGCTCCAAGACCAGTCTTGCAGTTAAATTGAGGGAAGTGGGGTAGGGGAGCTGTGAGAGTTGGGGGGGAGGACAGGTGGAAGAGAATAGGTGGAAACCAGGGGAGGGAAAGAAGGAAAAAATAAAGAGCGGAGCGGTGAGCCGGGCGTCGAGACGCTCCAGGAGCGCTGGCCGCTGGCCGGTAAAGGGCACCAGAAGAACAGAGAAGGAAGGACCGGGCCAGGTGGCCGCCGCACCTGTGCACGTGACCCGCGCGGGCGCCGGGGCGGAGGCGCGCTCACCTGGGCCCACGTGACGGGGCGGGGCCCCGCCTGGCCGAAGACAGCGCTGCCACGCCCCCCTCCCGGGCGGCGCGCCCGGAGCCCGCGGACCCGAGCAGGGGCGGCGGCGGCGGCTGCGGCGGCGGCGGCGGGAGCCCGGGAGGCGGAGGCAGGCGGAGGCGGGCGGAGGGAGGTGGCGGCGGCGCGCGGAGACGCAGTAGCGACAGCGGCAGCATGTCGGCCGGCGGAGCGCCCGTCCCGCCGCCCCCGAACCCCGCCGTGTCCTTCCCGGCGCCACGGGTCACCCTGCCCGTCGGCCCCGACATCCTGCGGACCTACTCGGGCGCCTTCGTCTGCCTGGAGATTGTAAGTGGGGCAGCCTGGGCGAGGGTCGCGCCCCGGGTGGCGAGAACTGGCAGCGGCATCCTGCCCCCCGGGCTGCGTCCTTCTGCGCGGCCCCCAGCTCCCGTCCCCCCGGCGTGGCCTTCTCCTGCGCCCCTCCCGGGGTCCTCCCGATGCCCAGCGCAGCCCGCACCCGGGCGACGGCGCCACCGCCCTGGCCCTCTCGCCTGGCACCTGTTACGCTGGCACCTGCTCCTCCGCTGGCGACAGAAATGGTCCCGGGAGAGCGAGCAGGAGGCCCCGCGGGCCGAGGATTGGGGACTTTGAGAGGAGAAGTCTCTTTGGAGTTGAGGTACTGTCAGAGACCCCCGGCGGTTTGGCCGGGGGCCACGCTGGGCTGGAGCGGGTGCCGGCGCTCTCGGCCTCGCCTGATGCTACCTGCCATTTTGTTGGGTGCTGCAAGGTGGAGCCAACGACCGGGTGACCAGGAGGCCGCCAGGATGTGGAAGGAGGGGGCAGGAGGTACCAGGAAGCGGAGGAGGAGGGCTAGAAGACGTGGGCTTTTTTTTTTTTTTTCCTTTTACCATTATGAGCGCCCTTTGGATTGGGGAGAGGAGCGGGGCTCAGGAGGCAGGGCAGGGAAAAGGTGAAGCCCATACGGTGCCCTGGGCAATGGCTAATCAAGTGGGCTGAGAATGGTAGGGTAAAAGTACAAACGTGGCTGTCAAGCTCCTCGCCGCCTGCGTTTGCGCCTTCTCCCTTCCGAGTCTACCTTTGCAACTCCAAACCCTCTCAGCGCACTTGGTTGGGCCTAGGTGACCGTCGGGTCACCCGGCCAGTCGTGCAGGCTTCTTGGGCTGCAGACGTGAACTTTTAAAAAGGCACTTTAATGGAGTTGGGAGGTTTTGAAGCTCGCTGGGGAAAATGTGCAAATATAAATTGGGCAACCTGAGGTTGCATCATGCCCTGAGAATGGCAAATACAGAGTGAAACGTTTGCCAGTCAGTGCCTTTCCTGCCGGCTGGCTTTGTTTGCTCGGTTTGGGGTTTTCATATCGTCCCCCTCACCCACACCCACACCTTTGAGCTTGCATAACCTGGATTTGGGTCGCTTCGGTTTCACTTTTGTGCTTGTGGGGCTGGAACGCCTTGTGAGCATTGGTTTTCCGCCCTATTTTGCTAAGGCACCCTAAGTTAAGTTTAGCTCAGATTTGAATCTGAAAAAGGAGACAAGTGAGTTACCGGCTATGACATCAGTAATCGGATGGTGACTGCGAGGCTAGGAGAAACTGGTTTGAGTCTGAGCCCAGTTCGGAAGCATCTGAATGCTTGGGATGAGGTGCGGGCATCCAGGTGAGAAGAGCGGGGAGAGGGTGGCCTTGGGTGGGCAGCCCCACTGTGGGGAGGGGGACAGCCTGAGAGCAGTGAAGCCTGGGAAGAAAGATTTTATAGGCTCTGGGCTACTTTAGTTCCGTGTTCCTCAGACTCCAGTTGTTTGCCTACCTCTGTTAGAAGCTTTTGCCTGCCATATTCACCTGTTCTAGAATTGACAGATTGTGCACTTTAAATGCACTCAGTTTCTGAGCTTCAGTACCTTACCTTAGCCTCATCCTAAGCAATAAAAACATGAATTCTCAAATTTGATATGCTGTCATATTTTTCTAATATTTATTCAAATAGATACTTATATGTTTACATATATATGTAAAAACTGTGACATACATATATGTATATATATGCAAAGAAGGCCTAGCCATGTGCTATCAAATCAAATGCCATCTCAAGAGCCACCGGTGATCATGTGACACTTTTGGAAACTCCACCTAATTCTGAGAAAAAAAGTGGAAAGTGGTTTATTCTATTTCCTCCCTCCCACCCCCATGTCTCTTTATTTATCTAGCCCATTGGTTAGTTCTCAACTCCTGCTATACTTAATTGCTTGGGCAGATTTTTAAAATACTGTCGTTAGGCCAGACTAATTAAATCAGACTCTCTGGGGAGCTACCGAGTCCATTAGGTTTTTTAAAAAGCTCCCGGGAGGTTCTAATGTACGGTCATGTCTGGGAACCACCAAGGGAGGCCTTTTCGGGGCTCTGTGGACAAGACAGCTCTCTCTTGCAAATGTGAATCCTCTCCCTCTGCTAGAACTTCTGCCACGCCCCATCCCAGGGGAAATCCCAGGCTCACAGAAGTATCCAATCCCTTCCTCTCGTCTCTTCATTTCCTCTGGCTTCTTAGCCCCAAAACGCTTCCAGGATCCTTATCTAGATAGAACAGCATCACTTCTGAAAGCCATTTCCGTTTAATTTTCACTTTCTTTGGCCAAATATCTCGATAGGTTTAAATCATAGGCCTCCATTACCTTTTACTTGATATCAACCTCCTTCTTCCCCAACCCAACCTGCAAAAAATAAAAGGCCCAGAATATTCCGGTGAAACTGGTGACCTCAGAGAAACAAGAGACCACATTAGAGCCCAACTATAGCTCCTTCTTGGCCCTCGTCCTGCCGTGCCACTTAGAGCTATTGGATCATGTGCTTTAAGAGAGCAGACGTGGAGGCCACCTTGGTCCCTTCTCTCTACCTAGAACATCCACACCGGAGGAGATGCACAGATATAAGCAAAGTAGACACTTTTGAAGCACTTTGGTCCCGGATTTCTTAATATCCCTCTAATTTTCTGATCCCTTGAAATTGTTCAGTCTCCCATGGCTCCTCTTCAGAAATTTCTCTCTGTAAATTAAACGTGAGAATTCACCGGAAGCAGTTCTAAGCTCTGGGTGATGTCCTTTCTGGGGACCCCTTTGTTTTAGCCTCTGCCAGTGTTTCTGAATATGCCCAAACTCCTTAATTTTGACTTTCTATCGAATCCATTTGTCTTTGCAATTTCTTTATGTCCCGTTGCTGTCTAAAACTGAACACCTGAAAGCTGCATCTGACAAAGATGCTGGGCTATCTATAGTTGACTAAGCTAATGAAACCATGATCTTGGAATTCACTTCTCGCACTAACCAGTAACTTTGCTCAATGATTTAATTTCGATTTGCCTTGTTGTACCACATTCACAATCTCTCAAGTGTCAGGCATTTGTTGGGGAGATAATTCAAAAGATACAGATATTGCCAGCCTCCAAACACCAGGCAAAGTAGTTTATAGCGCTGGCTTTATAGGTGGAGGTATTGCAACTTCACATGCATGGTGTGGTTTTCTTGAGATAGGTATGTTGTACTGCTAGACACCTAAGTTGTCTACCTCTGGGTTTTTGCACTCAGCTATACTTACCAATGTGTGCTTGCTCTGAAGAGTTTAATACTAAGTTAGTTTTGCAAAGTGAAACCTTTTAGTTTAAGATGGAAAACGTTGCCTTCCAAAGTTATCATTTTCAAAATCTAATGTTTTGATTCAGTGTTTCCTGAGTTAATGTTTTGTAAATCATTCATCAGGTGTTTATTGAATACCTGTTGTGCGGCAGACACTATTCTGGGAACAAAGATATTTAAACTCTGCCTCACTTGAAAGAGCTTATAACCTAGTTGAGAGGATATGCCCCCAAAACAACTACCATTCAGGGAATAAAGACACAACAATGGAAAGTGAGCTATAGCTAAAGCACTTTCCAGGCAGGTGTATTATAAGAAAATGACATTGGAACATCTGTACTATTGGGCTAAACAAGCTATTTCTGGTCCTTTGTCCTCAGTGAGTATTATGCACAAGAAGATTGGAAGTAACAGTATTAAACATGGAAAAGAATAAAGGTCATTATTGAATTCAGTGTGTTTCACAGTTTCAGTATTTAGGAAACTGTTTACATTCCCCATGATATTCCTGAACATTTCTCTTTATGGGAGATGGTCTAGGACTCTTATTCACAGGCTTCTAACTGCAGTGTTTTGGATGCGATAATAATTTTCATTTTTTCAACAAATAATTAATAACCTGCTATGCATCAGGCCTTATCTTATGCCCTGGAAATAGGATAATTAACATAACTCCTGCCCTTAAAAGAAAGTCCTATACAGTAAAGTATAAATCCAAGAAAGAATTACAGTGCTGCATTTGAAGTGATAAAATTGGTTTATGGGCTTCCCTGGTGGCACAGTGGTTGAGAGTCTGCCTGCCGATGCAGGGGACACGGGTTCGTGCCCCGGTCCGGGAGGATCCCACGTGCCGCGGAGCGGCTGGGCCCGTGAGCCATGGCCGCTGAGCTTGCGTGTCCGGAGCCTGTGCTCCGCAACGGGAGAGGCCACAACAGTGAGAGGCCCGCGTACCGCAAAAAAAAAAAAAAAAAAATTGATTTATGAAAAGTACTATTGAAAAACAGGGTGGAGTACATCTGGCCACTGGGAAGGCCAGGACAGGCAGCTTTAATGGGATGGTGACATTTGAATTTAGCCTGAAATGATGAGTAGAGGTTCAGTAGACAAAAGTGGGCAAGAGAATTCCAGGTAGAAACAGGGGCATGTGCAAACCCCAGAGACAAGAAAGACCATGGCATGAAGTTCTGGCAATGGTTGGTGTTTTTCTGTGTGTGTTTTTCTACATGACTTATGGGGAGGTGGCAGGAGGAGGAAAAAGAGCAGGTAGGGTTCAAGGTGTGGTTTGCTGAGGAATGATAGGCCAAGGCATAGCATTTGTTTTTGTCTGTGATGGGGAGCTGCTGAAGGACAGGGATAACTTGATCAGACTTGCAGAAATCTTTGAGTAATGAAGTTTGGTTATAAAGCAGAGAGACTGAAGGCAGGAAGGTCAGCTAAAGGGCTTATTGCAGTGGTTTGGATGAGGGGTGATGAGAACTAGAAGTGGGACAAAGAAAAGAAGCAGAGAAGAGGCCCAGATTTGATATTTACAAGGTCAACCACATATGTAAAGTGTTTTTTGTTTTTTGTTTTTGCGGTGTGCGGGCCTCTCACTGCTGTGGCCTCTCCCGTTGCGGAGCACAGGCTTTGGACGCGCAGGCTCAGCGGCCATGGCTCACGGGACCAGCCGCTCCACGGCATGTGGGATCTTCCCGGACCGGGGAACG